AGGACTACGGGACAGAAAGAAAACTCTGGGAAGAAGGCAGAGTCACCAGTCGGATGACGAAAAAGCATGACATGTAGGAAATGAGGTAACAAGCCATGAGCCACTTGACAGCATGTAAATAAATAAAAATGGGTTAACTTAAATTATAAGAGCTAGTTAGAAACAAGCCTAAGCTATCAGTCAACTTTTCATAATTAACAAGAAATTTCTCTGTGGATATTTGGGAGCTGGCAGGAGGGACAGAAAAATCTGCTTACATGTATGTGCACCACATATGTCCCTGGTACCCAAAGAGGCCCAAAGAGGGCTTGAATTCCCTGGAACTGGAGTTATGGATGGTTGTGAGCCCCCATGTGTGTGCTGGGAACTGAAGCCAGGTCATCTGCAAGAACAGCAAGAGCTATTAACTGCTGAGCCGTCTCTCCAGCCCCCCTGAAACACTCTCTGTAGACCCATCTCTTACCTCACTGTTGAATCTTTCTCAAGGGCTCTACTACTGACTACATTCCAACAGTACATTGATCTCTTGTTCTTCCTCTGTTCACTAAATGAATTTCTACCTCAAGGCCTTTGCATTTGCTGTACCCTCTACCAAAAACACTCTTCCCTCAGATCCCACATGGTTTCCTTCTCCAGTTCACTAAGGTCTCCACAGTGTTTAAAAGAGCTCCAGCCCCCTCACAGATTACCCAAAGCCTCACCCATCTTGCATCTTTAGGTCTATTTGTCTGTCCCTCATCATCTATTGTGTCCCACATTTGCCTTATCTAAGACTTACAATGTACGAATACAAGACACTTGGTAAGTTCCAGAAATGACTTTTCCCTTTTCACATCTACTAACCAGTTATACTTTCTCAACTAGTACCAGAACCCAAACAACATGCTGACAGACATGACCTCCCTCCTTTAACAGACGCAGCGCAAAGAGAGCTTTACCAGGTTCTCATTATTTATGCAGCATTCCTTCGGAGTCTTTTCATTTCATAACTGGCATGGACACATTTAACCGATCAGTCCTGCTAAGTGCCCGCTCTAGTGAAAAGGGTCACACGGACTATCCTGAGCCCTCTGCCTGTTTCTCCCCTAGCATAGGTTTGTGGGGACCAGAACCACTGTGAAAATGTATGTCTGGTAAAGGGGAAAAATTCAGGTTCACAGAAAGATAATATGGAAATGAATCCAGGTGTACTAACGTGCGTTCATAATAGGGCTGGACATTAGTAGTACCTGTAACCTAGAAAAAAGAACGCAAGGCTGGCAACATGGCTCAGTGGGTAAAGATATTTGCTGTCAACTAAAGGCTTGAGTTTGGTCCCCAGAACCCACATACTGGAAGGAGAGAACAATTCCTACAAGTTGTCCTCTGAACCGCCACATGCACCCCATGCCATGTATGCACACACATATCATTCATTCATACAAAATAAATAAATGCAATAAAAAATAATTAAAAGAAGACAAACAGGTTAGAGGGAGGAGAAGAAAGAATGTAAAAGAAAGGAAAAAAAAACACCACAGAGCCTCATACATTCCTAACCCACTTTCAAATCACACTGATTGTAGGCTCACCCAGCACATACCTTTGCATCTGAGCTGCGGAGCTTGGCCCATTCTGTATATCACCTTGACCAAATTGGCCATATGGCGTCTGACCACAGGGGGCCTGTGCTGTTGAAGCTGGGGGTGCCCCTGAGGAAGGTGGGGCTCTCGGCACACCTGAGGGTAAAGGACAGAAATTAAATGGTTGGGAAATAACTTTCTCTTCCACCTTGAGGCAGGAATACAAAGCAAGAAGCAATAAAAGAAACTTTCACTGACCCTACACTCCAGCTGCAGAGTGAAAAAGGGTGCCATGCACCTCCTCTTACTACAACAGTATTTGGCATTTGGATATCAAACAAACAGGCTACTTTCTCCGACTTAGGGTGAAGCTAGGCAGAGCAACACAATGGAGGATCTCCCTCTGATCAACACTTACTCTCCTCTATCTGTCTCTGTCACACACACACACACACACACACACACACACACACACACACACACACGTCTAAGACAGCCTTCAACCTTTCTCAGGAAAACATCTCACTTCACAACTTAGAAACTTGGAGGATACATGAGAAAGGTGGTACAGAAAATGAGAAGCAAGAATATAATGAATTAGTCTATAAAAAACTAGGAGTGTGGCCAGTGTGGTGGTGCCTGCCCTTAACTGGACCACTTGCAAGGCAGAGGTAGGTGGATCTCTGAGTTTCAAGGCCAGGCTGGTTGACATACTGAGTTCCAGGACAGACAGGGCTACATAGCGAGACCTTGTCTCCAGGAAAAATAAATAAAGAAAAAGGAAAAGGAAAGAAAAGAAAAGAAGAAGAAGGAAACTAAGGGGCTGGAGATGTGGTTAGCTGCTTGTCTAGTCTGAAGTCTTGACTCCAACCCCCAGCACCACATAAAAAACTGCCTGGCAGGGCTTAGAAAGATGGCTTAGTGGGTTAAGACCTGGGTTCTAGCCGGGCGGCGGTGGTGGTGGTGGTGGCGGTGGTGGCGGTGGTGGTGGTGGCGGTGGCAGCAGCGGCGGCACACGTCTTTAATCCCAGCACTCAGGAGGCAGAGCCAGGCGGATCTTTGTGAGTTCGAGGCCAGCCTGGTCTACAGAGTGAGATCCAGGAAAGGCGCAAAGCTACACAGAGAAACCCCGTCTTAAAAAACCATAAAAAAAAAAAAAAAGAAAAAAGAAAAAGAAAAAGACCTGGGTTCTAATTGCAAAGGACCTACATTCCAATCCTAGCACCCACATGGTAGCTCATAACCATCTGGAACTCCAATTCAATTCCATAGGATCTGACTTCCTCTTCTGACTTCTTAATACATACATGTAAGCAAAACATTCTCACCAGTAAGTAAAACAAAAAAAGTCGAAATAAAGTACTTGGTGGTGCACACCTATAATCCTGGCATTTGGGAGTCCAGAGGACCAGAAGTTCAAGAAACCAGGGGTGGGGTGGGGGTGGGGTGGATTGTTTGTTTGCTTTGTTTTGTTTTCCAGTGCTGGGTACGGAGTCCAGGGCTTGATGCACACTAGTGTTCCTCCATGGAGCTACACCAACCACCAGAAAGGCACTCCCTCCCTCCCGCAGCAGCTGCTCTGACCCCTTCTTCTTGGTACATTTTATATACCCCATCAAGCTCTTCTCACCCACTTCCATGTTCAGTAGCATTCTCACAAGTCAGAGACCTTTTTTTTTCTCCAAGAGTTCTGTCAGGACAGGTGGCTTATCCCATTGTTAATGCTGTTAGCTACATTCTCACAAAAGCGGGGCTCTGTCCTTTTCTCAGATCAGATCTCCCCTCCAAACTACTCTCACTAAGCTTAGCCATACTGCCAGCAAGAAATACAAGCGATGAGTTACCTGGAAAATCACTTTTGAAATGTTGATGGCCCTCAGGAAAGAGCAGATTCAGAAGCTGAACTTGCTCACTAACCATAACAGAACCAGACAGATTTCCCTTCAATGACAAAGACAACTCCATTCTGATAAGTCAAACCTAACAGAGCAGAAATGGACTCTGTCCAGTCAAAGTCCCAACCTAGAACAAGGACCTTCTAACGAACCAAGTTCTAATTTTACCACTTCACTGTTTTTTTATGGTGTGACTAAAATGGTAATATTTCATTTATTTTCAAAACCTATCCATGCCTTGCCTGACTGGATTAAATCTACTCTCAAGCCAAGTGTGGTGGCCTAGGCCTTTAATCCCAGCACTTGGGAGGCAGAGGCAGGTGGATCTCTGAGTTTGAGGCCAGCCTGGCTTACAGAGCGAGTTCCAGGACAGCCAGTGCTACACATAGAAACTGTCTCAAAAAACAACAAAAAAAGCCGGGCGGTGGTGGCGCATGCCTTTAATCCCAGAAAAAAACAAAAAAAACAATAACAACAAAAATATATGTGTGTGTGTTTGTGTATGTGCATTTTTTTATTTATTAGATTTATATATTTTATTTTATATGTCTAAGTGTTTTGCTCACATGTGTCACATGCGTGACTGGTGCCTGCAGAGGTCAGAAGAAGGCACTGGATCCCTTGAACTGGAGTTGTGGATGGTAGTGAGCTGCCATGTGGGTGCTGAGAACTGAAGTTGGGTCCTCTACAAGAATAAAAAGTGCTCTTAACCACTAAGCCATCTCTCTAACCCCCATAAAATTAGATTTATGTATTTATTGTGTGTGGAGATCAGAAGACAACTTGTCTTCTCCTTCCACCATGGATCTCGGAGATTGAACGTAGGCCGTTATGCTCAGGGGTAAGCACCTTTACCTGCTGAGCCAGCTCAAGTCTTTAACCCCACCCACCTTCATTTATTTAGTTTATGATTTTTTTTGTAGGTTCTGGGGATTGAATCTAGGATCTCATACATGTTAGGCAAACATTTTGTTAATGATTATATCTTCTTTTTCACTTTTTAGTTTTAGACGGACTCCTACTCTGTACCTAAGCTGGACTTGGATTCACTCTGTAGCCCAGGCAGGCCTTGAACCCACAATCCTCCTGCCACAGCCTCCCTCACAGGATCACAGGCCTGTGGAATCTACTCTCTTAAAAACAACATAGCGGCCGGGCGGTGGCGGCGGCGGGGGCGGCGGCGGCGGCGGCGCACGCCTTTAATCCCAGCACTCGGGAGGCAGAGCCAGGCGGATCTCTGTGAGTTCGAGGCCAGCCTGGGCTACCAAGTGAGTTCCAGGAAAGGCGCAAAGCTACACAGAGAAACCCTGTCTCAGAAAAGAAAAAAGAAAAAAAACATAGTGTTTGGCATGCTCTAAGTCTTCAGCCAGCCTAATCAAAGAGTCCTCTATTAGTAACTTTACAAGGTCTACTGGGAACATGCAGAGAACCAGCTACTCTTCTTAGAAAAGTAACATAAACCAAAACTCTAAGGGCTGGGGGTATAGACTCTAATGCAACACCAAGCTTTCTTATTTCACTGATATTATAGGACATTCAAGAAAAGGAGACTCTAGCAAAGGAATGAGTGACAGCAAAAGACCCAGGAGTACTAAAAGTCACACCTACAAATACACCTTTCCTCCCAGATCCATTTACAGATACATGGGCCTCAGAGTCATTATAGTCACAATCAGAACTCAAAGAAGAAGCATTCTCAACACATATGAGGAATAAGTGATTTCAGGGAGACTTCGTCCAGCTCTTAATAATGCAGCCAGGTGAGGCTGTCCAGGGTGACGTCCACAGAAGTGAGCTGTTACTGAATCTGGAAGACTCACTCCCATTAGCTGTCTTAAGGTGGAAACAGTCACATATGTAAAAACAGGGTGATAGACGACTCACAGGGCCCTCATTTTCATGTTCTCCAATCACAGGCCTTAAGCAGCTTCATCAGAGCAATACAATCTAACCTGAAGACTGCTCATTTCCTAAAGGAACCTGGAAACATACCTTGGAGAGGTGTCTGCTGATAGCCTGGCACTGGGCCATTGTAGGCCCCATAAGGAGCAGCAGGTACTGCAGGTCCTGGTTGCCCACCATAACTGGACTGATGATACCCTGGGTAGATGGGCTGGTTCTGCCCAAATGGTGGAACAGGTGGAGCTGATTGGTTGACATTCATTATGAGAGCATCCCCGACTTGATCTTACCTATTGGAAGAAGGAAAGAAAGAAATCAGTCAAAAACGCTTTCTAAGGAGAGAGTAACTATTCAGGGAAGGAAGAAAGAGACAAAAAGGGATTGACCTTATCAGGCAGTGATCAGTTGAACTGTTTCCACAGGACCACAGGATCACAGTAACTTCCTGCCCCAGCCAGTACCCAGTCACTTTCCTCAAAGCAAGGATTTTGTTACTGTGAAGCCCGTGTTGTATCACTGCCAAGAAGGTCTAAGTTTCAACTGCAGACAGACCTAATGGAACAGAAGAGCAGACATCCTCCAAGGGTAGGATTCTCAGTGTCTGGTCACACAGAGTCTTGGGGCTGCTAACTACCATGATGTTACAAGTAAAGAAAACAATGTTTCCACTTTCCATTCCTTCTATCTACGTCAACTCACACCATAAACACTTGAGTAACTTCAAATGTGCTGGGTTGTTTTAAAAAGTCAAAAATGGGGGGTTGAGGTTTTAGCTCAGTGGTAGCCAAGCGCAAGGCCCTGGGTTCGGCCCTCACCTCCAGAAAAAAAACAGTCAAAAATGGATCAACTAAAATCCCTCCCGCACAAAGACAAACTGTAGAGCTGCTGTTTGGGAGAAATGGCATTCTTTGCCCTACAATAACACAGATGTTACTCTGACCCCAGTCTTTCCATGAAAATACTGTATTAACCTTGCAAATGAAGTATTAAGATAAAAAAAAAAAAATGTAGCCCAGCCGTGGTGGTACACGACTTTAATCCTAGCACTTGGGAGGAAGAAGCAGGCGGGTCTCTGAGTTTAAGGCCAGCCTGGTATACAGAGAGAGTTGCAGAACAGCCAGAGATACAGCGAGAAACCCTGTCTTGAAAAAAACAAACAAACAAACAAAAGTAGAGAACACCTGAATATCTAGCAAGCAATGTTCCATTTCAAAGATCATTCATTTCTTCCCTCAAGCAGAGCAATGTTCCATTTCAAAGATCATTCATTTCTTCCCTCAAGCAGAGGACTATGGGCATTCTAAATTCAAAAGCATGTCTGTAATTCGGTTTCTGTTCTAATGTTTGGTAGGTCGCTATCAAAGCTATTACAATTTTGCCCAGCAACAGAAGGATGAGTTGGAGGTCCTTTCAAGGGTCATTCCAAGAAGGGGAGAGTAGATCTAAACAGCCTTATCATTCTAATTATTCTATAGGCAGAAGGGGCCCAGGAAGAGTGAGAACCTCTCAAGTCTGCAGTAGAACAATGGGCCTCCCTCTTTGCTAGCAAATCCCAAAAGATGAACTGCTGCCGGACTGAACATTCTGTAAAGTCAAAGCCATTTTAGGAGCGGTCCTTCCAAACCTTGCACCTGCCACCACCACTTAGCTTGGGAGACGTCCCTGTCCCTTTAACTTCCTGAAGTCAGGGGAGAGAGGGACGGAATACACTTGGAGTCAAACTCCAATCTTGCCTCCATTCAAGGTAGACAGTCGAGGGTGACAACCGAAAGGGGCGGGGCAAGCTTCCTAGAACTCCGAAAGTACCCGAGATGCGGAGGCTTGGGAGCTCCAGGGATCGAGATCAGGAAGCCAAGCCGGCCTCGAGGGCCACGATGAGGGCAGGTTCACTAAGCAGTCAAGACCAAGCTTCTAATGCCCTTCAACATGCCGGGAGGGCGAAGCGAGAGCCGGAACCTGGGCCAGAAGGGGAAGGGAGGGGTCTGGGACCGACCGCCGGTCACGGATGCGGGAGGTGAGGGTCTCTCCCCAGGCCCCGCCCCCAGGCTCCTCCCTTTCCTCTAAAACCGGACCACGATCAGGCCAGAAATACCCTGGCCTCTCCTCGGCATTCCTCCCCACCGCGCAACCTCGCGATGCCACTCCTCACCCGGCTCCAGATCCAGGTTCGACTTCGTTCCTAACGTCAAGGCTCCCAGGCTCGACTTCCGGTTCCGAGGGGGCTGGCGTGCCGTCCCCGGAAGTCCCGCCCCGTGCCGTAGGGCCGGGGGCCACACCTTCTGCCACGTCGGCCTTAGGCATGCTTCCGGAAACCCGGATGCTGCGCATGCGCCTTTGTCTCTCCCGGGGTGGCCGCTCTTTGAGAAGCTCTGCTGAGTTTCATGCTTTTTTTTTTTTTCTTTTCTTTCCAGCTATTCCAGACTCTTTCTGGTTTTACCAGCTAGCTGAGACGATGCTGAGATAACTAGGTCAGACTATTTTAGTAACGCTCCCTCTGTCATACCGCGACACATTAAGGACCTCTAGTCCTGGAGCCACTTCCTGTTAACCTTTGACCCCACTGATTTGCGTCCCTCAGGTAGACCTCAACCCTGACCTTTGAGCCCCGGGTGGAGGAGGCAGGTTACCGGCGCTTGCTACGCGGTTGCGTGCTTATGTGTTCGAGCTTGGCACCATTAGCTCAATGTTTGGACAACTTCTGCCCCAATTTTATTTATTTACTGTAATGAAAGTAGTGCCTCTCGAACAGCGAATTGAGATGAATTTAGAAACATTTCACAGTCTAGTATAGCGTTCAATAAAGATTAGTTATTTGCCATTTTATGCCGTGCCCTTTTTTAACAGGCAAAACTACCAGAATCAAAAGATCTCCGTGCTCTCTCTGTTAAGAGAGCTACAATTGTTTCAGCAATCCTAAGACTCTTCAAAGAATAATTGTAACTAATTGTTGCTCTTCCTCCCCACCCCCATCAGTTTTTTGAGACAGGATCTCAATATATAGCCAGACTGTCCTGAAACTGGATATGTAAGCCAGGGTCACCTTGAATTCGCAATCTTTATACTTCCGCCTCCCCAAGGCATGCATTGTAATCCTTTCAGTACCTATTTATGCATACAGCTTGAAGCACTTCTTTGAGCCAACTCAGGTCCTAGAGTAAGTAAAATGTTTTGCTTTCATATGTAATGGTAGTTATACAGTGGTGCATACTTAGAAAAAAAATAGATACTTAAGGTTGTGTATGGGTTACTAACCAGGCAGTTGTCTTTAATTTTTATGTATAGGTGTTTGGTCTGAATGTGTATCTGTCCAGAGACCAGAAGAGGGCACTAGATCCTGGAACGGGAGTTACACACTGTTACATACAAGCCTTGTGGATGCTGGTAATCAAACCCAGGTCACCTGTAAGACCGGCCAGTATTCTTTGTCACCAGCCCTATTTCTGTTCAGTTTTAGAGTAGTCAGTGGATCCTGGGATCAATGGTATCAGTACCAGCTGGGACTTGTTAGAAATGTAAATTCATTTCTTTCCTCCCTCCCTCCCTCCCTCCCTCCCTCTCTCTCTCTCTCTCTTTTGGTGTTGTTTGTTTTGTTTTGTTTTGATTTTGTTTGTTTTGAGACAGGGCTTCTCTGTGTAGCCCTGGCTGTCCTGGAACTTGCTTTGTAAACCAGGCTGGCCTGGAACTCAGAGATCTGTCTACCTCCCCAGTGCTGGGATAAAGGTGTGCACCACCACTGCCCAGCTATTCTCTTATTATCTTTCTCTCCTTTTTTTCTTTCTTTCTTTCTTTCTTTCTTTCTTTCTTTCTTTCTTTCTTTCTTTCTTTCTTTCTTTTCTCTCTCTCTCTCTCTCTCTCTCTCTCTCTCTCTCTCTCTCTCTCTCTGGGAACTTACTGCATAGCACTTCTGGCCTAGAATTCATTGTGTGGGTCCAGCTGGCCTTGAACTCACAGAGGTCCTTCTGCCTATGCCCCCAGAGTGCTAGGATTAAAGGCGTATGCCACCAAACCTGACTAGAAATGTATATTTCTAATCCACCTAGGTGTAGTTCAGTTTTGGAGACGGGGCTCAGCAACAGTAGTCCCCGAGTCCCTGACACTAAGCTTGACAGATGCCTCCCTCCTGGATGATTCTCTTGCTGACTGACATTTGTCTAGTTTAATAATTTGCCAAAATGCAACTAACATTTGTTGAGCACCTGCTCAAGGCTGAGTTCACCCTAGTTTAGCACTTACATGATTTTCCCCATTTATCTTTCATTTCACCATAAGGAAGTAGATATAACCTGTCTTGCTTAAAGTTACACACTCCTAGTAAGAGCTAAGATTCATAAGCTTGAGGATCAAGACTATGGGTTAGTAGGTTAGGAGATTTAGCTCAGTGGTAGAGCACTTGCTTAGCAAGCGCAAGGCCCTGGGTTTGGTCCTCAGCTCCGGACCCCCCCCCCCAAAAAAAAAAAAGATCAAGACTATAAGTTGCGCCGGGCGGTGGTGGCGCACGCCTTTAATCCCAGCACTCGGGAGGCAGAGCCAGGCGGATCTCTGTGAGTTCGAGGCCAGCCTGGGCTACCAAGTGAGTTCCAGGAAAAGGCGCAAAGCTCCACAGAGAAACCCTGTCTCGAAAAACCAAAAAAAAAAAAAAAAAAAGACTATAAGTTGCATTTTTTAATTTTCTTTTTAAAAATATTTCTTAATTACATGTGCATTGGTGTTTTGCATACATGTATGTCTGTGTGAGGGTGTGGGATCCCCTGGAACTGGAGTTAAAGACAGTTATGAACTACCATGTGGGTGCTGGGAATTGAACCTTGGTTATCTGGAAGAACAGCCAATGCTCTTAATTGCTGAGCCATCTCTCCAGCCCTGCATTTTAAATTTTTTTTGTTTTGTTTTGTTTTGTTGTTTTTTCGAGACAGAGTTTCTCTGTGTAGCTTTTGCGCCTTTCCTGGAACTCGCTTTGGAGACCAGACTGGCCTTGAACTCACAGTGATCCGCCTGGGTCTGCCTCCCAAGTGCTGGGATTAAAGGCGTGCGCCACCACCGCCCGGCTTCTGCATTTTAAATTTTTCTGTCTCAACTTTGCACTTAGAATGGGCTGGATTGCTCTTAAGAATGTTACTGCTGAAACAAAACAAAAAATATTGGTGCTGACTGGACATAGTGGCACATGCCTGTAATTCCAGCATTCTAGAGGCTGAGGCAGGAGGATCAGAACTTCAAGCACTCTTTATAACAAGTTCAAGGCCAGGTTGGGTTACCTAAGACCCAATCTCAAAAAAAAGTTCAAGGCTAGCCTGTGCAGTGTAGTGAGACCTTGTCACAAAACCACAATTGAATAAAGAGGAGAGGCTGTCGGTGTGGATGGAGCTCAATATAGGGTGCTTGCTCCCCCAGAATGTACTAAACCACTGCCTGGTAGTAGACCAATGAAGTCCCTAAAGCTGAGGGGGTTGGGGGGTGGTGTGGGGGGCTTATTTTAGGGAACCCATTGCTGAGGGGGTGGGGGTGGTGTGGGGGGCTTATTTTAGGGAACCCATTGCTGTCAAAGTTTTCTGGGTGATCCTGAAATGCACTGAGTATTGATATGACACTGGTATAGCACAATGGCTAGCATGTAGGTAGTACTTAACTTTTCCTTTTACATTTTTTGAGACAGGGTTTCTCTGTGTAGCTTTGGAGCCTTTCCTGGAACTCACTCTGTAGCCCAGGCTGGCCTTGAACTCACAGAGATCCGCCTGCCTCTGCCTCCCAAGTGCTGGGATTAAAGTTGTGTACCACCACTGCCCTGCTAACTTTTTTTTTTAAGATAGTTTCTTATTATGTTGTCCAGGCCAGGTCTTGACCTTCTGTGCCCAGGTAATTGTTTTGCCTCAGTCTCCTGAGTAATGGAAACTTTAAATGTATTCATTAACACACACACACACACACACACACACACACACACACATTCATTAAAACACACACATAGGGCTAGAGAGATGGCTCAGAGGTTAAGAGCACCGACTGCTCTTCCAGAGGTCCTGAGTTCAGTTCCCAGCAACCACATGGTGGCTCACAGCCATCTGTAATGAGATCTGGTGCCTTCTTCTGTATACATAATAAATAAATAAATCTTGAAACACACACACACACACACACACACACACACACACACACCATATCATAACATAACATAAATAAAAATAATACAATGAGGCCAGGTGGTGGTGGCACACGCCTTTAAACCCAGCACTCAGGAGGCAGAGCCAGTCGGATCTCTGTGAATTCAAGGCCAGCCTGGTCTACAGAGGGAAATCCAGTACAGGCACCAAAACTACACAGAGAAACCCTGTCTCAACCCCCCAAAAAAATAATAATAATAGTAATACAATGAAAGGAATCAGAAGATATGTAATTTCAGTAACTCTTAGTTCTGTAAAATATTGATAAGTATAATAAAAATAAAAGATTAATTGTTAAAAATAACTAACTAGGGCTGGAGAGATGTCTCAGAGGTTAAGAACACTGACTGCTCTTCCAGAGGTCCTGAGTTCAATTCCCAGCAACTACATGGTGGCTCACAACCATCTATAATGAGATCTGGTGCCCTCTTCTGGTGTGCAGACATACATGCAGACAGAACACTATATACATAATAAATAAATAAATAAATAAATAAATAAATAAATAAATAAATAAATAAATAAATCTTTAAAAAAAAAAAAAAGAGCACTGTTGTTCTTCCAGAGGTCCTAAGTTCAATTCCCAGCAACCACATG